TGAAGCTATAGCTGAATGTTGTAAATGGGGAAATAATCGACAAGCATTTGGTGAAAATCACGCTGTAGCACCACTCGTTAAACATCTTAAATCATCTGATCCTAATGTACATCGATCAACAGCTAAAGCATTACATCAATTATCAAAAAATCCCATGAATTGTGTTACAATGCATGAAGCTGGTGTTGTTCGAGTACGCTTTTTTGAAATTGAAAATATATTTCCGAAGATTTTTTTGTTTTCTTTTTCAATTTAGTTATTGATGGAAATGGTTGGTTCAAAAGATGATGTACTTCAAGAGAATGCTGCTATTTGTATTTCATATATTCGACGATTAGCCTTGGCTAATGAAAAATCAAGAAACGGTTGACACTATCCTCTTTATTTATGTATGGAAAAAACAGTGATACAAATTTGTACTAAGATTGATTTTGTCTAATAAAACTTTATAATGCTTTAAGGACTCAATAAAAAAAGTAAAATTTTTTTCGAAATGATTCTTAATCATTGACTTACAGCATGACATCTTATCACTGTGTTTATCAATGTTACGCTGGAAGCCGCAGGAAAAAAAATAAAAATTCTTATCGTTTGAGTCTATTGTTGACATAACTCTATCTGAAGTATATCATATTAGCAACTTTAGTAGTTCAGGTTGATCATGTATATATATATATATATATATATATTTAATTTTGATATCAATTGTTTGAATATCTGATCGAGATCCTCATAGCATAGGTAATAAATTATTTCTCAATGAAATAAAAGTACTTGATTGCACGAAAGTCGTTTGCAAAGAGGACCATGTTAGAATACATGATATAAACGTCTCCTAGACAAGGTTATGGCTTTCAACCTTGTGAGAACAAATTGAATACTTTTTCTAATCACTTGAATTTATAATCATGATATAGATTGTTACCAAGTTGTTCTCTTCCCACCTGCTAGTATAGATTATAAGAACATATTTACATCTATATTTATGATGTATGCTTTACAAATATTTTATCGAATTTTCATTGATTTAAATTTGTTACATAGGTCTTTCAATTGTAAAACTATATAGAAATTCACGCAAACATGTTGATAAGATACTTGGTATTGCTGAAGATCTTAGATGAATCGAATAAAACATTTTTATAGTCCTCTTCAGTTTATTTTAGTGATGTCGAGCACTAGACAAATATTATATCTTAAACGTACAGAGAAGAAAGAAAAAAGAAAGAAAAAGAGTGTAAGACAAGCAACGACCATAACAACAATAACAACAACACCTGCAGAATTTCTCGTCTCTCTTTTTTCATCGTCGAATAAAAGTGGAGTAGTAACAGATCACAATCGATCGGCTGAGTTTCTGTAAGAAAAATTTCGTCAATGCATCAACAAAAAAGCAACCAAAACAACAGGAAGCATTAGAGCTCTACCAATAGATGCATGTGCCCCATTGATTGTTTCAAAATTTTGTCTCGTTCTCCCTTCTTTTCATTTCTGTCGACTTCAGATATGAAAAAAGAAAGACGAGCGTTTTTCTATTACCCGATTGTTGTTTCGGGTGTCAAGACGCCCACTGTTTGTTGTTGTAACTCATTGGTAACAAATGAAGCAGGAGTGAGGTAAAAGATGAGAAGCATTTATGTGAATAACTTATGCGTGTGTGAGAGAGAGAGAGAGAAAAAGAAAGAGAGAGAGAGTTTGTGAAAAACAGCTTCATTTGTATGTATTTTTAATCATCCATTATAAATCATTTTTATTGACAGACTCTGACACCTTTAATATTCTTTATGTAAATTTTCTTCTAGACAAAGTCAGCAAGATGGTATTCACGTTAACAAAACCACGAGGCCCAATTTCGGCCATGCATTCGACACCAGGCCCAGTTTATCTATTGCCGGGTCTTGTCGGAAGTAGTTTTCATGATCCACGTTCGGTGCATACAAAACAACCGGCATATTCATTCGGTCTTAGACATGGTAAATATAGAGAGGACGCATCACCTGGTCCATGTTACTTTCCAAATCCAAAAATCTTTCGAACTGGTAAAGACGGTACACCACATTATTCACTCTATGCTCGACGTGGTGATCTTAAAGGCGATTTAAACCCTGGTAAGAGAAAAACAGACAAAAAGAAGAATATTAAAATGACCCAAGTTTCATACGATCTCGATTAGGACCTGGTGCTTATAAACCTGAAGAAAAAGGACCAATGAGAACTGTATTTCAATCACCACCTGCATATACATTTGGTTCTCGTCATAAATACTATGGACTTGATAATACACCTGGTATGATTCTAAAGTTTTATTATTTTTAGATGCAACTCAACATTTTTCTTCTAGCACCAAATGCTTATGCTTTGCCCGGAATGCTTGGTAAGACGGTACAAAGTGTAAAGAAACAAGCACCAATATATACAATGACCGGAAGAAGCAAACGAGGTGGCTTTGACGAAGATCTACAACGAACACCAGGACCTGGTAATTCATTATTCGTTTTTAAAAAATTTTCTTTCTCTCAAAATTTAGTTTTTATACTTTTTTTTTAGGTGCTTATAATGTAATAAAATCAGGTGTATATAAACAAGAACCACCACATTATAGCATGACAGCCCGAAATGAAATGCCAGGTGATACAACTCAAAAACCGGGACCTGGTAAATATTCACCAGAAAAAGTTTGGATTCATAAACAACAAGCACCTGGCTATTCATTTGGTATTCGACACTCAATGTATGAAGCACCACTTATTGTTGAAGTGAAAGACTAAATTCATCGATACAGCTATCTTGTCTATCATTGTACTTTCATATTTTCTTCCTGAACTAAAGAAAAACGACAATGATCTCAATCTATATTTGTGGCTTGTACAATCGTTCTTTTTTATTTTATTTTATTTTATTTTATATATTGATTGATAATGACTGACGCTGATGTGATATTGCGAAACGTATAAATATCTATAAGCCGTCATGAAAAAGGCTTTACTATTTTTTTTTCTTTTTTTCTAAAGAGAAGAGAACGTAAACAAAAGAAAATACACCATCTAAGCCAGAAGTGTCGAGAATATTCTTTATTAAATTATTTTCTCTTGCACGTTACATAAACGTGAAGAGCTCTTCAAACAGGAGAAAAAATAATAATGAATGTAATTGACCTTGGAAAAGCATTAGTTAAATATTCCTTTAGGTACTTGAACGGCTTCTGCTTCGATTGAGTTTATGTTTGTACTTTTAGTAAAAGAACTCTTTTGTTCTCACGTAATAACAAAAAAAGAACTATGTTTTTCTCATTTCCAGAGTTCCTTCAAAAATCACTACAATGAATATACGAATCATATAGATGTTTGCTCATTAGCTATGAAATAATATATTCTAAATTCGAAAGATTTTATATGGATGCATATTTACATTCAACATGTGTTGTTATGTGGTCTTCACACTGCAGTAATTTCATTCAAGACGCTGTTTCTTATAGAATGAAAAGAAAAATATGTAAATAAACATATATGTATGTAATAGAAGTTTTGTTCGCATTGCAAATCAAAACTTTTCAAAGAGAATAAAATTATCATTTTATGAAATTAAGAATACATATAAAATGAAATAGGTTATTCTCCAATGTAAACAATTTATCTCTATCATTCATATTATGAACTTATCATTTTTACCACATATTTATTGTTTTTGTTTTATTTGAATAAAATACTGCAGTAATATAGAAAACCAATTTTTAAAGAATGAGATATCGAATATTTTTATCAACGTTGTGTTATGATTTACGTTAGTTTAGGAACAGTATATGTTGTATTTTGTTTCAATAATAATGGTTTAGATGCTTTAGTTACACATATTCAGACTTACAATATATATGATATCTGTTTGATATCGATATTTTATGAAAAAAAACGAGTAAAATGAATAATTTTTAAAGGTTAAGATTATACGTTACGTAATTTTAATGTAGCAACTTAAATGAAAGAGAAAAAGAACTTTCCTGTATAATGATTCGAAACGTATAATGCAAAACAATTGCTAACCGATGAACGTAATGAATTATTAGATGGCAGGGAAGAATGTTCAAAGATTTACGATTAAGTTAATAGAAAATAAAATAATGATCTTTTCTTTTTGAATTAATACAGGGACAAGTTTTCTTATCACAAATTTATACTAGTATATCGCTACTATTCTTAAAAAATATAGTTATCATGTAACATCTCTTTTTTTTGGTACTCTGAGTAATCACGAATCTTGATACTAGTTACAAACAATAAAACATCAACTAGACAATACATATGAATAGAACATTATGGTAAAGAAAAACATTAGCGACCGATACTTATACAAATAGATTTTATTCCTAATTTATATTCATTCATAGATTATTTTCTTTTATGAAACACGATCTAAAACGAGTGTTGAAGTATATACGGTAGAAGTTTGTATCCATTGCCTGTCAACACAGACCGTGACAGACTATATATATCAATAACAGTTCGTTGCAATATATTAAACTACTTCCTTATTGTATTTCTGAAGGGTTAAGTAAAACGAAGGGTGTAGAAACGTGTCCCAAGAAAGACAGAATAAAATGATCTTCCTGAGATTAGTAATAGCAACTATATGGTGTTTCACATTTTGATCACACAGTGATTGCTCTATTTTTTTTTTGTATATTGATCAAGTTATATTAAAATCTAAATAGTGCAACGTTTTTTTGGTGTCTAATAGATTGTTGCTGTAGGATCAAACATATTGGCTTGAAAATTACTTCACAGAAGCATTGATAACCATTCATTTGTTATCTTTTATTCTCATCAAGTTAGTAAAAATATATGGAAAGTTAACATTTAATTCAATCAATTTATAAAGAAAAATATTTAATATTTTATGTGTATAAAAGAACAAACGATCCTTTTACCTATTCAAGATAAATAAGAAAAAAAAGGTTAACAAGAATAAGATAGAAAAAAGAAGAAAACAAGGCAATATATATTTTTTCAAACACTTCTTAATCGTTCAGTATATGAAAACGATGATGTGTTTAATGGTTTTCCATTTGTATATATATTTGAAAAAGATGGTGAACTATCAATAACAATTGATGTTAATAATTGATAACGTTGATTAAAATTACTACTTGATGATGATGAATAAAGACCATTACGACGATAAAAAACTGATCGAATTTTAGATCGTAATGTTTTTCGATAAAATATCAATAAACACAATAATAACATTGAACCTATTAAAATAATCATTATCGTTGAATCTGTATGTGTTCGTCGATAATGCATTGTACTTTTCACTTGATTAATTGCTCTATAAAATATTTTGAAAAATGAATTTTTATAATAAAGTAAAAATACACTAAACCTTAATGGAAGAAAACGAGTTTTGTAAAGAATAGCACCTAATGTCCATTGAACATCATTATTATTAACTAATGAAGCTGAACGCAAACGTTGATAGTTAACAGGAAATTTAAGACCATCATGAAGGAATGCGTACAGCCAAGCAGATTTAAAACATTGTAATCTAAATATAGAATTTAATTAATTATTCGATTTTTCTAAGAAATAAACAAAATAACAAAACTCTTACAATACGCGATTTAAATCAGCTTTGGGAAATAATTTATTTGAATACCATTGTCGAATATCTGCCCATTTTGCATTACAATAATTCTAATAAGAAAAATATTAATTTGTGTTTTTGCCTTTATTTTATTTTATTTTATTTTACTTACATTTGAAGCATTTAGAAAAGCTAAACGTGTATAAGGTCCACCGATTTTTAAAACATCTTAAAAATAAAATAAAAATAATTTATATAAAATAATTTATATTTTCTTTTGATCAAACCTTCCATTGTATACCAAAACTCTGAGAAACCATAGAAATCTTGTGATTCATAATTAATTTTGGGTTGATAAATTCCATTAAGTGAACATGGTTTTCGTTTACATGTTGCATTTAAATTAAGTAATGTAACTAAATGTTTAGCACAACTATGAAAATCACCTTCACCTATTATTGTTATTGTTTTATTATTTCGTGTATAATTTGCTGCATAACCGTGAGGCAAACAATCAGCATCATCAATTAGAATATGAGATGAGTTCGATGCCGAAGAACTAAAATATTTTTTTTCATATACATATATAAATATATTATTTCAATTAAATTTACTTAAGAGCTATTGAAATAATTCGTTGAATATATTTTTCAAATGCTTTATTTGCACCGTAACCAAGAAATGTTGTAACATATATTCTATATTTAAAACCTTCTTGATTTTCATCATAACCCAAAGAAAATTCTGCTATTTCTTCACCTTCGATTGGTGTCTGAAAAGGAATTGATGAATACTCGTGTAGAATCCATAGACAAAAGAAGACAAACTTACATCTGATGAAATTTCGACTATAAAAAAAAAATCAAGAAGAAATATAAATATAAATATTCTGTATTCTTTTTTTTTTTATTTTCATTAACAAATTAGAATAACTTACAAGCTATTTGAGCTGATGCACCACCCATGTCAAGAATACCAACAGTTGATGGTCGTTTTTTTGAGATAGATAACGTTTGACCATTACTTACCGATACTACATATTAAATGAACAAAATCAAGATAATTACTCTTTAAACATTCAATTATATGAATCTTACTTGAATCAGTACTATTACTTTGGAAACGACCAAGTACATAATTAATTGCTATCCAACTATAAATACCTTCTAACTTTCCAGGAATAACTTGAATATGAGTTTTTTCAATCAGAAAATTATAATCTCGAACAATATCATTAAATAAATCTTCAAGTAATTTTTTTTGTTCACTAAATATATAGATATATATAAATAGAAACATCATACTTAATTATTCATACTTTGGTGTCAGAAAACGAAGACCAGCTGTTGCAAGTATATATACTTAAGAAAACAAAAAAAAAGAATAAACAAAAGAATGAAATGTACCTATTAAACTTACATGGAGTGTCACGATGTTTATCTGGTGGAACAGTTTCTGCAGCAAAATCTAAAAAAATATCTTCTAATATATCCAAATTTATACATGAAAATATTTTACCTAATAATGATTTCAAATATTCTGTCGCATTGTCTGGTGTTTTTGCCATTGTTGACAGACCTAATAGAAAAAAAAAACGAAATTATTACATTGATTTACAACAAAAATAAATAAATGAATCTAACCTGGTTCAAGTTTCTTTACAATTGGTTTGCCTTCTTTATCAAGTAACTGTTTTATTTGTAATAATTCATTTTCTTTTCCTGAATGTTCTGGCCATATATAAATATAAAGTCTTGATCCACTACTTCCACAATCAATAACTATACCATAATGTATATTGGGGTCTTCATTTCCAATTCTTTTTGGTACATAAACACCACCTGCATCACCACCTTGAATTATTTCTCGACTTTTAATTAAACCTTTTGAATCGATTGTTTCAATTACTGCTGGATTGGCCTATGAACAAAAAAAAGCATAATAACATAAAAGAAAACATTTTTTCTTATTGGTAAATATTAATCATCTATTATTTATTAGTATAGTTTCTTATTAAAAGGAGTAATTATCATTTAAATATCCTTGAAATTTGTCTCGTTTACATGATAAGTTCTGTCTTAATATATGAATAAACAAAAAATAGAAAAAAATCAAACCATTCAAGATGAATTCAATTGTAATTGATGAATTCAAACAATTTATATGTATATGTTAATATTCATTGGCAAAGTAAATTATCAAATATTAATTTATACCTTTAGTTGTAATACACTTTTGATAAAGAGTTTTTTTTTACAACGATTGTAGTGACTGAAAAACGAAATATTCAATATATACTCTGATTTTCAAAAGTTATAAAAAACGTTCAAAAAAAACCTCATGTTTACCGTATCCGATAACTCTTCAAGCATATTCTGATAATGTACCATGAAAATTATTAATCTCTCAAAATTTTTATACTTTTTGAAACAAATAAATAATGAATACCCACATATCATGTACCTTTCAAAACTGCAATTACTATTTATCAAATTTTCTTTTGATTAATTTTATTCCTAACAAAATATTTCATATAGATACAAGTCATCCTATATCTAGATGGAATAGACTAAATTATATATGACTAGATCGATTTTTGATTAAGGTCATGTTTAAGAATCGTATTCTATGTAAACTATCAATATTGATTTTAATTATATTTACTAATAGTTTGACATGTACTATAATCAAATCAGCCAAACTTTATTCTTGTAGTTTTAACAGTTATATTTAAAAAAGAACGAAAAATGAAAATAAGAAACATACTGGACTTAGCATTAACCAAATGAGAAAACAGCTCAGTAACAAAGCTACTGTCATAACCAAAAAGCCTGGATTGCAAGAATAACACTGCAACGACGTCATCCATCAGCGCATCTAAAAAATATGAAATAATACATTCTTTGAATCTTCTAAACCAATTCAGATGATTCATTAATACTTATATCTTACTAAGAATGAAGACTATTATTTGATCTAATATTTGAAGTAGAAAAAATTGTACTATGCTAGACAGTATGTCACATCGTCCTTTTTCTTCTTCTCTTCATGTTGATCTGCAATTAGACAAACATATTAACCAATCAAAATGTATTTAGTGCTTTTTCAAAAACGTGTCAGGCCAGAGGTCCATACTGGACGTGTAATAAATATATAAAACAATTTGTATGTGCATATTTCTGTGGATACGAATTTCTAGATTAAACTTCCTCGACAAATGAAAGAAACATTAAAAAATAATTAAATTTAACAAAAGAGTAGAATGAAAAACTTGGCTTAAATTTAAGCCGATGAAAATATATTGACGAGGAATCTGTGCTGATCTTGTAGGCGGTATTACTTAAGTGATGAACATTTTGATTGTTTTAAGGAATCTAAGGTAGTCCATTTTATTTAACATGTAGTCTGATTAATAATGATCTCAGTTGTCAATCACAAAATGAACTTTTCCGATTTTTTTCTCGTGGAAATAAATACAATGACAAATGCGTCTAGTGTTGGCAGTCTATTAAAATTTCTGAAACAGCAATAAAGGTTTTGTATTGTGATTCGAGTAGCACATTCAATGACGCATCTTTTGGAAAAAAAGAGAAGTGTTTAATTATGTTTCTGAACATAATTACATATAAAACAAAACATGTCACGAAGCTTCTATCACACTTGATACATAGTATCTTCAACAACATTAAAATTCTTATGAATCTAGGTAACGTAAACAAGAAAGTAAGCAGACATACTGAAAAGAAACACATTTTAAATTCATCAAAGAATATTAATTTCCAATTATTCACAGAGATTTATAAAAACTTTGCTTCAATGTTTGCAAGCATGAACATGTTATGGAAAGTGATATTGTTTATTGAAAAACGACTGAAATCATGGAAATATCTTTCCTGCTAAATTATCTCGACCTAACCCGATCTTAAAACAACATTAGTATGACTTAGACCATAATGAAAGACCTATTAGAAAGCATTTTGATTGCTTGAAAAATCAATGGCAATGCATGTATGCCAAAAAAAAAGTTTCCTCAAATTATCTTCATTTAAAACTTATTTCTTTTGCAATAATTGATTTTTGGACTTTCATGATAAAACAACAATCAAAAGTGTCTCAGTTTTGTGGACACATCATGATCATCTTCAACTATTACTTTTGAAAAAAAAAGAACTCCAATCAATAAGAATGTTTGTAAATTATTTTTCATCATCAAAAAATCTACAAAAATAAAAGATTGTGACATTTATGTTCAATACTTAAATGCATGTACATGAAATTCTCTATGTTTGTAAGCTCATCAATAATTAATGTGACAAAGAAATTTCCAGTATAAAAGTTAAAATAAAATTATGTTTATATTTGATGACCAATTTGTTGCTTTCCTTTGTTTTTTGAATATGGATAGTTTAGTGCCAGAGAAACGAAAGAAGAATCAGATCAAAGACAAAAGAGGAAAGAGTACATCACACAACAAGATCAATCACACATCCAAGCAAACATAATATATGTCCACCCAGAAGTATCAAGAAATTACAGAAATTGAAAATTGTAAGTTAAGAGTACAGAGGTATCAATACTAAGATCAACTAAAACAGATTACAGATGTACACCTTTTTACAGCCGAAGTAAGACAAATCTATGATAGCATAATAAAAATTCTTATCTGCGCATACATTCAGTAGTGTAGTTGCTTTTTTAAAATAGTTATATTGCTTGTATTGAATGTCCTCAGATATAACCAATTCATTCTGGCATGTTATCCTTTATGAGGTAATCTCTTTGAAAAAAGCAACTTTTTTTAAAATTTCATTCATTTATATAAACTCGTATCAGAAGATGTACAGGGTGTCCCAAAAGT